AGCTGCAGCCTTGGAAGAGGTATACTAGGCCAGCCCCTGACATTCTGCTCACACTTCTACAGGTCACTATCCTAGAGATATGGGTGTATCCTCAAATGCAACATTCAGATATGGCGTCCTCATCCTGAGCCCAGCTTCCAAGCCTTCACTACTTTTCTTTTCTCTCCCAGTGTGAAAAGTGGCCACTGCTAGCCAATAAGTCCTGATGGGTGGACCTCATGTGCCAAAAAGAACATTTTATTTCTACCTATAAATTTACAACCTCCACCAAAATGGACGTTCCCCCCAGTTGTCTTACCATTAAAGAGTGAACTAGCTCTAAAGAGTTGTAGAACACATTCAAAAAGCTACAGAAATCATTGAGGATTCAGAAGTAGAAGCTGAGACATCAACATTTGTATTGATTAGAGACCAACATGATATCATGAACAAGGAGGCATAGCTCGTTAGTTAAAATTCTCTTTTTCACTAACCCTTAGGAAAACAGACAGTTCCTAGAGAACCGACTATTTGCCAGGTTTTTGTCTAGGCCAGTGGTTCTCAAACTAGGGCCGTCGGTTGTTCAGGGACAGCCCCTGACGGGACGGGCCGGTTTGTTTACCTGCTGCGTCCACAGGTTCGGCCGATCGCAGCTCCCAGTGGCCACAGTTTGCCGCTCCAGGCCAATGGGAGCTTCAGGAAGCGGCGCGGGCTGAGGGAACCGCGGCCACTAGGAGCTGCGATCGGCCGAACCTGCGGACGCGGCTGGTAAACAAACCGGCCCGGCTCACCAGGGGCTTTCCCTGAACAAGTGGCGGCCCTAGTTTGAGAACCACTAGTCTAGGCTACTAAGAGAAGGAGGTTGGTCAGAGAAGCAAACAAAAAATTATACAGCTATAAAGAAAAGTTAAGTCACAAAGTGTGCTCCCCAACCTTAATAGTGTTTTGGTAAGATTATAAACTGAGAGTCACCTCCATTTAAGACAATTAATCTACGCAGATTTACACCAGCTGAGGCTCTAGCTCCTAATACTTGGGACCTGATTCTGACCTCATACAGTTCTATGCTAGTGCAACACCACTATTTGGAACTATACAGTTCTCATACAGTTCTATTTCAGTGCAACTATTCCTGATTTACTTCGATGTCAATGAAATAAGAATCTGGCTCCATACAGTTTGACATGAATTTCTAACATAAGCTTCCTTGAAAGAAGACATGGCAACATTTAAAGTTATGCATTTTTAAACTTTCTTAAAGTCAGAATAAGAATATTTATGAGAAAATCTGCATGAATATAGATCTTTACTTTAAACATCTTTTGGAAAGCTCACTGTATGGTCACCTTAATAAGAGTTTGTGCTTTACCAGTTTGAGAAAGGGGTAATTAATATCCTCTGTAAGGCACAGTTTATTCAACCTTTAGCATCCTTTCAAAGCAATTAACAATTCAAAAGAATGGGGTGAGCGCCAATTAATTCCATTTCAGTGTCACAAGAAAAAAGTAAAAGCTTCATTAATCCAGATCAAAGAAAAATTTCTTGACTACTTGTATTAATCTGAAAATAGATTATTACAGTTCATAACTTTAAAAAACGAGGAAATTTTCAGACTGCATCAAGGTGACAGAAAATAGAAATGATACATGATGGCATTTCTAGGTAGTAATTTCCTTTCTATGTGGAACCTACTGACAATGATCAAACACAACAAGACCTGCACTCTGATTATATCATGGTATGGTGGAACTGTGAGGTTGCTTAAGGTCTACAGTGACACAAAAGTGACTTTATCCTAGTATGACATGTTTATTTACATCTTAGTTTCCCCTCTTCCCCCATTTCTAAAAATGTGCTCAAAGCCTCTAGCTCCATGTACAAACTCTTCTATATATTCTTTAGTTAAAATGCCAATTAAAAAATAAATCACCCTTGACTTTCCCCACTCCAAAAAAATCCTACCACCACCAAAGACTCCATTAATGTTTCCCTCAAACTGCCAGTTCAGGAAAAGTCTACGAAAATACTATGTACTATGGCCTAGTTCAGGAAACTCAGGTTCAGTTCTTCCCCATACCTTTGGGGAGCAAATTCAACAGTCCCCCATTGAGAACATCCTTCCCCCAACATCCGGTTGAACAGATGTATGAACTGTCCACTTGACCATCCCAGATGATCCAAACCGCTGGGTTGGACAATGGCAGACAGGCTGCATCTGGGACACACATCCCAAACCATAAAGAGTTTGATGGATCAGTATTAACCCCTTAAACTACACACAGCCTCAAGCACTGCTGTGAAGGAGGCAAAGACAGCCGGCTTCTCCTCTGCCACAGAGACCACAAAGCCACGCTCCCCTGAGAACTTTCTGGACCATAAATGTTTTTATAAGCTACAGAAATTCTCGCTCTGAGGAATTATCGTATTTCACAGAGAAGATCACTTGCATCTAGAATGGACTCTCGGGATACTAAGAACAAGCACAGAACTGAAAAAACACCACCATCACAACACAACTTGGCCCATTCAAACATGTAGTAGTCATGGAAGACTAGAGAAACCACCTATGTCTCTGGACCCCTGCCCTCTGAACCTGGGAAAATAAAGTAGAGAGGTATTGTTTTTTGAAGAGCGAGCTCTACCAACCGCCCTAATATCCAGCATTATTATTAAGTTAGTCTGAAGCTCTGTGAACCTCATTGTTACTGGATACCCAGATAGCTCTAGAGCCACAAAGCGGCCAGTCAGGCAAATTTAAAGTGGCAGGAAAAGACACAGGAAAAAGAAGAGAAGAGAGGTGGAAATTGCTGGGACAGAGCATGAACCCTTCATCTGGTCTGTCCTTTCTCAGTTTAGAAGGCAAATGGGGAGAATGGAAAATAACCAAAACCTCCGATTGGTATTCTCTGGACAGGGGTGTCTCAGGCCTCCCTGTCACATACTGATTACTCCCATAATCCCCAAAAGGCCATGCTCTGCCCCTCCCCAAGTATACAGCCTGTGGGGGAGGTAGGGGTTTCCCTTGCATCTGGATTATTTTTAAATAGCAGATTTGTGTTTAATTACTGATGGACTTTTCAGATTTGTAAAATTGTGTGGGGCAAAAAGCATGAGAAGCTTACTCTTTCAACCTTGAAAATCCTTTAAAGTAATTAATATAGAAAAGAACTGCATTAGTATTAACTTGTTTGATTTCTGTACTGCAAGAAAATTAAAATGGCATTAGAACACTATAACCTCTCCCCCTTTATTAATCTGAAATCACAGTTCCAGCTAAAAATAAACTAGAATGTTTTCAATACATATTCTCAGCAAAGAACAATAGAGAGCTGCAGTATCTGTTTTGGCAGTTTGTGTGTCTTAAGACTTATGACGTTTTAAGTGCAGAATTTCCTTTATGTGGAACAAACCAGCAGTAATAAGATACATAAAGATCTGCACTGTGCTTGTATAATGCCATGGGTGAGCTGTGAGGAGGCAGAATGCCTTCAGTGACCCAAGGAGTGAATTTATCTTGGTATGACACATGCCCACTTGGGTTTTCATTAGTCCTGAAATATATTTTAGAGAAGTCTAATTTAATTTTACCCTGATTATGTTACCCTGGACCATCCCTCTATCATTACCAGTAAACATGAACCATATTAACAGTATATTTTAATTGCTTTTATTTATTATCTTTACTGTATGTTTATCAGAACATTTGAGGTATGTTCTGCATGAATTTTAAATTCTGTTATTTTAATTGTGGAAGTTTCACTGGTTTCTGCAGCTCAGCTGTCAGAAGAACTAACAATGTATTGAGGTAAATTTCTCATGCACTTTACATCCTGGCACCAGACTACCACAGGACATTTCCACATGCCTCTCTTCCTATGGTTGGACATGGATGGTGTCTTCTTATTTATATTATAATTTTTAATATTGATCTGAGCTATGGTGACATCAGCACACAGAAAAGGACTCAGAGTAATGAACTGATTACACGTGAATTCCCTTAAAAGGACAGATGGTGGTTTTCTATTAATGCATGTCAAGGCATGGATGTTCTCTGACTCATTGTGGTAACAATCTTCTTCCATGGCCTAACAGTGACCTCCTCCCCTTGTCTTCCTCCCCTTTTTTGGTCGCTGTTGCCTTATTCTACACCTTATAAAATACAGTCTCTTGTTCAGAACGTTGCAGAGTGTAACAGGCCTTTACACTAGTATGAGATCTCCTTCATTTGTGAAGCTGCATTGTAAGGTTACCCATATTCTATGCCAATTGCACAGCCTGTATTTTGGCTTCCAATACGTTGACTCAATTGTTGGAGTTTGGCATAAGACTGCCCATTGTTTGATACACAGTATGAGCTTGCTGTCACACAAAGAGCTTCTCTGTGTTGTATTCTTTGACATCCACGTTAAAACTAACTATTATTTCAGCAGTCACAAATATGTGCAATTCCTTTTGTTTTCATTTCTTCCTTCTCTCTCCCACAATCTGCTCTTCTGATCACTGTATAAATACACCTCATGCATCAATCTTTTTTCATCTTGCCTTGTGGCATTTCCTGACTACTTTGTCCCCTCCCACAGCTACTTCTTCAGGACTTAATATAGCCTTACTTTTTAAACAAAATGGAAGTGCTGTTCCAATGCATTTCAGTTGTGATGTGAGACCAAACAAAACTATAGCAACTTAAGATCTCTCTCAGTATTGCTAACACCAATCACTTAGAAATCATGATTCAGACACTAGAAATCATAAGATTGGCTTAAAATCATGAGATTTTGAAAAAATTGGGGTTCTTTTTATTTGCCTTCTGGTTTTTGAGTCCTTAGGATACCCCCTTGGGTGACATTTTCAAATGTTTCTCTGCCAACATGAAAGCTAGAAACTTACTTTTTTTAAAAATGAAAGCCAAAATTCTTATGTAATAACATGATTCCAGGAGCAAGGGTTTTATGTTAAATGTCAAATATAGTGTGAGTTTAGCAACTCTGCATTTCTGCAGTTAAAATTTTGGTTAAACTTACCTCATTTAAATTCTGCAGTTGTTCAGTAGGTTCCTTTGGTGAAAGAAATGCGCACTGATCTATTCTACAATAGAAAAATAGAAAAAGTCCATTGAACACCCCATTTTCCTCTATAGCAAATATTTCAGACTTTGTAGATCTGAATTTACATTATAGCAGTTATGCTGTTGTTTCTGTGATAAAATCATACAATACTGTATTGAAAAGAAATAAAATTTCCTATGAAATTTACCTCTGGATTCTGTATAACTCATTTAAATACACAATGAAGGGAAATATTGTTTAGAGTAATAGTGATTTTATTTGGAATCACTTTTGATGCATTTATACCACATATGCAGTCCTAAAAACTATCACAGTTACTAATTGGGAGGAAAAAAACAAAAAACAAAAAACTCTAAAAATTTGGGATCATTCCTTCAAAGAATGGGTGCACAATAGGGACCCTGTCTGGTGACCAAACCATGAGCAACAGGCAGCGAACCACTTATGGATATGCTTAACTTTAAACATGATTAGCCCTCTTTATTTCAATGGGACTACTCACATGCTTAAAGTTAGGCCAACGTTTAAGTATTTTGCTGGATCAGAGCCATAAAAGATAAATCTTTCCAGACTAACTTGATTATTATTAGGGCTGTCAAGCAATTTAAAAAATTAATCTCAATTAATCGCGTGATTAATCACACTGTTAAACAATAATAGAATACCATTTATTTAAATATTTTGGATGTTTTCTACCGTTTCAAATATATTGATTTCAATTACAACACAGAATACAAAGTGTACACTGCTCACTTTATATTTATTTTTTATTTCAAGTACTTGCACTGTAAAAAACCAAAAGAAATAGTATTTTTCAAATCACCTAATACAAGTACTGTAGTGCAATCTCCTTATCATGAAAATTGAACTTACAAATGTAGAATTATGTACAAAAAATAACTGCATTCAAAAACAAAACAATGCAAAGCTTTAGCGCCTACAAGTCCACTCAGTCCTACTTCTTGTTCAGCCAATCACTAAGACAAACAAGTTTGTTTACATTTGCAGGAGATAATGCTGCCCGCTTCTTGTTTACAATGTCACCTGAAAATGAGAACAGGCATTCTCATGGCACTGTTATAGCCGGCATCGCAAGATATTTACGTGCCAGATGCGCTAAAGATTCGTATGTCCCTTCAAGGTTCAACCACCATTGCAGGGAACATGCTCCCATGCTGATGACGGGTTCTGCTCAATAACAATCCAAAGCAGTGTTCATTTTCATTATCTGAGTCAGATGCCACTAGCAGAAGGTTGTTTTTTTTTTTTTTTTTGGTGGTAAATGCAGGTAAAACAGAGCAGGGAACATACAATTATCCGCCAAGGAGTTCAGTCACAAATTTAATTAACACATTTTTTTTTAACGAGCGTCATCAGCATGGAAGCATGTCCTCTGGAATGGTGGCCAAAGCATGAAGGGGCATACAAATGTTTAGCATATCTGGCATGTAAATATCTTGTGACTCTGGCTACAAAAATGCCATGCAAATGCCTATTCTCACTTTCTGGTGACACTGTAAATAAGAAGAGGGCAGCATTATCTCCTGTAAATGTAAACAAACTTGTTTGTCTTAGTGATTGGCTGGACAAGAAGTAGGACTGAGTGGACTTGTAGGCTCTGAAGTTTTACATTGTTTTGTTTTTGAGTGGAGTTATGTAACAAAAAAATTACATTTGTAAGTTGCACTTTCAGGACAAAGAGATTGCACCACAGTACCTGTATGAGGTAAATTGAAAAATACTATTTCTTTTGTTTATCTTTCACAGAGCAAATATTTGTAATCGAGAATAATATACACTTTGATTTCAATTACATCACAGAAAAACATCAAAAATATTTAATAAATTTCAATTGATATTCTATTGTTTAACAGTGCAATTAAAACTGCGATTAATCATGATTAATTTTTTTGAGTTAATCACGAGTTAACTGTGATTAATCGAAGGCTTTAATTATTATTATTTCTTTTTTAAAGAATGACAGAATCAGGCCCTGATCCTGCAAACATTTATGGATGTGCTTAATTTTAAGCACTTCAGTAATCCCTGAAATTGACTGCACTCAGAGGGTATGTCTACACTGCAATTAAAAACCTGCAGCTGGCCCATGCCAGCTGACTTGGGCTCATGGGGCTCAAGTTAAGGGGCTGTTTAATTGCAGTGTAGATGTTCGGGTTTGGGCTGCAACCTGGGCTCTAGGACCCGGTGAGGTCGGAGGGTCACAGAGCCCACGCTGCAGCCCAAGCTGGAACATCTACACCACAATTAAACAGCCCCTTAGCCTAAGCCCTGTGAGCCTGAATCAAGTGTCAAATTGCAGTGTAGACGTACCCAGAGAGCTTCATGACCCTTCAGCTATGGAAGTTCTCAGGGTTCCATCCTCTCCTTCATCCTGTTCAACTTCTATGGGAAGCTGGTAGGGGAGACTGCTGAATTGTAGTTCATGCTTTTCCACAACATGCAGCTCTAAACCTCCTTCACATTAAGTGAAAACAGCACCATCTCCAAACAGTCTATAGGCATGGCCAAGATCAATAACTGGGTGAAGGGCAGCTGTCAAGGAGTAAGTACCAAAGAGGAAGAATTATTTAGTGTGATACAGTATCTATGGATATAACTAGGCATAATGAGATGAAACAAAAAATAGGAAAATGTAGGCTGAATAACAGGTAAAGTATCTTGATGGTGAGACATATTTGGCTATGGAATACTCTCCCAAGGAAAGTGGAGAAGCCCCAATGCTTGGAACTTTTAGAACTAGACTGGATAAAACATTAGTACGTGTAGTCTAAGGAGCAATTGTGCATTAGCAGGAAGATAGAGATGGCCTGGAAGTCATAAAAGGTCTCTCTCATCTCTAAATTGTATGATTCTAAATATCTATAGTATATAGATTCTTGTAGAAATTTCAACCCAGTAGATAAATTGGGCAAGTTAACCAATGGTACAAGTGAGCACCACTTCCTGGACATCTGTGGAGCAGTACCCCCACAAGACAAATTAATTTGGCCTATTGACTTAATGTTGCACTTGTGAATTCAACAAGCTACTCTCATACTAATTACCCCTTTGCTTCCATAGTTCAAAAAGAAAAAAAGCATGAGAGGTACTGGTGTGGACTTCTATAAAGTTTGTAGTGGCTCTGTGATGGATGACCTGCCTAGCTCACTCATGGCTCCACCTCTAATGAGCCCCACGGTTATTTTAAGCTCGGGGGGTGGCGGGGGAACGGACTTTATAGCACCCTTAAATCATCATCTGTCAGTCTCAGTTGGTATTATAGTCTGCATTTTAGGTGTGTGATTGTCTTGCATTCCACTGTTTGTATTGTACAAAATAATACTGGAGTTAATACTCTCTCACAGCTGTGTTCCTCACACACACTAGATGTTTCCTGAAGTTACCCTAGCCAGCAAAATATTTTTTCCACTCTGTGAAGGCCATTTACGTTAACGGTAGTTAAATGTGCATGTTGAGCTAAAAACACCCCATAGTCCTTTTTTACAATTAAGCTTAATAGCTCTGTTAGGTAAATGCAAATTGACTGATGGTAACCTGGCAACAGAGTACATGTAATTTAATAACTTAGGGCCTGTTCCTGCTCTCATTTAAATCAGTTACAAAGCAACCACTATCCTTAAAAGCAGCAGGATGAAACCCTTATTTTCCACCTGAGCTGATACATTAAAATTGCTTTAAGCTCGAACAGAAATTTTAAATAATTGCGGACAATTCTGCCTTCCACGTAATCTAGGTCATAAAAAATAAGAAAAATGTAATTCTCTGTGTTATTGCTACTTTTCATATTTTATGAAGAGGCAGAGTAAATATTTGGAGGGCTTGCCTGGTGATCTCACTTACACGTCACAGGAGGGTAACTCCACTGATTGCAGCAGAGATACTCCTGGCTTACCATGATGTAGATGACATAAGGCCCATATGGAATATCTTCAAAGTTTGTGGACATGACCAAAAAAAAGGATAAACACATCAAAATAAATTCAGCTCCTACCAGCAGCAGGGTGGAGTCAATTTGTAACAGCTCTGAGCAGTTGTTTAAGAACAAGGCCAGAAGAGGTGAATTACAGATCATGCATGAAGTTATTCTTAATGTCATATTTTGAAATAAAATCAGACTTTTAATTGTAGATGCTGTAAACACTGTAGAAATTTGAAAAATTGCATAAGGACTAATGAAGCAAATTCTTTGGATCGATGGATTAAAAAAATACATAGAAACGTAGAATATTAGGGTTGGAAGAGACCTCAGGAGGTCATCTAGTCCAATCCCCTGCTCAAAGCAGGACCAACACCCACTAAATCAGCCCAGCCAGGGCTTTGTCAAGCTGGGCATTAAAAACCTCTAAGGATGGAGATTCCGCCACCTCCCTAGGTAACCCATTCCAGTGCTTCACCACCCTCCTAGTGAAATAGTGTTTCCTAATATCCAACCTAGACCTCCTCCACTTCAACTTGAGACCATTGCTCCTTGTTCAGTCATCTGCCACTACCGAACAGCTGAGCTCCATCCTCTTTGGAACCCCCCTTCAGGTAGTTGAAGGCTGTTATCAAATCTCCCCTCATTCTTCTCTTCTGTAGACTAAATAACCCCAGTTCCCTCAGTCTCTCCTCGTAAGTCATGTGCCCCAGCCCCCAATCATTTTCATTGCCCTCCGCTGGACTCTCTTCAATTTGTCCATATCCCTTCATCTGCACTCAAATATTATACTTGATACTACTTCTTCAAGGGCCCACTGCAGCTTTCGATTAGTCTTTGTGCGTTCCCTAAAACAGTTTGCTTGTGTACATTTCTAGTGTGCAAGCAGCCCAGCCAGCGTAGTAGTGGCTACTTTGTAAACTGCAGAGGCATATGTAGACCCTATTCAGATTCTACCCATCATTACACACCCACTGCCTTCTGAGAAGAGAGGCATCTTTGGCTGGAGAGGAAACATTTCATGGTCAAAGTGGTAATGATCCACAAGTTACAGCCCCAAACTGCTCGAGTAAGTCACATCT